CTGGAGTTAAACCACGACAGGGAGTTGGCCAGGTGTGGAACTGCTGTCGTGGATTGGGCATCATCTCAGTGACCACGGCACCGGTCACTGCGGAATGTTTCCCAGGACACAGCAGAGCTGCTGGCCTTCCCAGACAAGGGTGGTCCAGCACACCTGCAAATCAGGCTCACCTGAGTTCTGAAGGAACTAGTGTTGCCTTTAAAAAGGGAAAGTGAAATGCTCTTTGAAGGTCTTGCTTTTCTGGAACAGCAGCCTCTAGCTGTTTCTGATAGCACACCCCATCAGTAAAACTTGTGTGTGCCCCAAAGTTGTGTGTTTAGAAATGACATGTACCTGCTGCTGTACGTCGTAAAATGAGAAAGGTGAAGTACTTGAAAAAGTGCTTTAAAATTGTATTTATTAACAGTACAAAAAATACTTTCTTCCTGCACCCCACCTGTTTGTGTGCCACTGCAGAGATTGTCCTGCCTTTGGATCTTCTTGCGCATCCCACCCGGGAGACCTCTGTTGTGGAAATTGGGAATACCTGCAGCGCCCTGGGAGGAGGAATGCAGAGTTCTCTGCTCGGGGCTGACTGAGGAGGACTTCGTGGCAGCAGGCCGCCCTTGGCTGCCGTGGAGGTGAGGCAGCAGGTCTGCGCCTGGGAGCCCTGACCCTGACTGCCTGGGGCAGAGGCGGCTGGCTCGTTGACGCAGCTCGCCTGGGCTGCTGACTGCAAGCAGTCGGCATACACTCACCAGGAGCAAAACATGCAGTTTTGGCTTCCAAAACCCAAAGGAAGGTGAATGCTGTCCAAAATGGGCAAGGGCCAGGGTCTTTGGGACCCTCCCTGGGGCATTTCCAGTCTCGCAGAACTGACAGGGATGTTCTGGCCCTGCTCAGCTCACGTGAGCTCCTCCGGGCCAAGCAAGAAAATCCGGTGACTGCGGCATGGTCCTGCTGCGCCAGCCCGCGTGGCAGCCACGCAACCACCCAAGCAGCTGCTGCAGGGAGGGGGTTGGGGAGCAGGGGTGATGGGTGCTGGGGTGATGAACTGCTCCAGTTGCCAGGGAAGTGCTTGTGGAACAGCAGCCTCGGGAAACCTGACCAGAGCAGCCAGACAGACACGATCACACTCCCCAGGCAGCTTAAACTGCCAGTGAAGCAGGATGTCCTGGCTCCAGCTCCCCGCCTTTTCCCTCCCCTTGCCTCCACACCCATCAGTGCCCCTGCAGAGGAGCAGTGATTTGGGTCAGCCTGCAGAGTCCATGAATAATTTAACCTCGGAAAACAACAATTAGTTCCTGGTGGCTGGGCAA